TGCATCTAACTCTCCTGTGAGTCTGCTGGGTACATCATCAGTCCTGCCATGATCTTCAACACATGATCCTTCTGCATCTTCACTTCTCATTCGCTGCATGCTCCCCTCACACTTCGCTCACATTCCCTACAGTAGCATATTCTTCCACTCATTAATTGCACCCTGTCCAAGTTGGCGGATTGCATTCACTCATTGAACATGTCATCCTCATTACATTTTTGCCTTTGGATCTGTACTAGGCAAACAGCTGGAGGAGCCAGGGGAGAGTTGCACTCACTGACAGAGGAGCGAAGGGCAGACTTTACAGGAGATACATGGTGGAATGTAGATCCTAATCTCCTAGCATAAAGAAGTGTCTGTCGAAGACTATAGGCATATTATAAACAAAGCCAGAGTTGTGCTTTTAAGTGCACACTATGCAGCAAGTACATCAGATCTTAAGGGAGCAGCTGGACTTGGTTTGGTGGCAGGCATGTTAAGGGTCGGACTGGGGCTCTTTTTTTTTTTTCGTTTCTCAGCTTGAAAGCATGTGGAACACAGTGCCTGCAGCCAGGCAAGAGCTCCCATGGTAAGTATGTTCAGTATCCCCATTTGCCAGGAGTGTGCAACTTCCCCTCCCACGGAAGCCTGTGGATGGGAGGGGTTCCAGGCATGGCAGCAAAGCGGAGGCTCATGTGGACACTGAGGAGCATGCAGGGGAGGAGGGTAAAGGAGTGGATGTGGTAGTAAGGTAAGGGCTCAAACCCTTTCATCCAGGTTGCCGTGTGTGGTATCAGTCTTCTCCAAATCAGAGTAGGGAACGGATGCTGAGTGAATGTGCACCTGGACCTTAGGCTGCAATGTATTGTGCTTCTGCGACACCAGACCACTTACTGCGGACTTGGCGTGGAAAGGGGTCCTACTGTGGAGGCTGGAATGACGCCGGCCTCCCTGGAGACCTGGTGAGAAGGATAAAAGAACCTCTGAGCTTTATGGAGCTGTGCAGGGAGGATTCCTGCTCTGTCTCCAGACATGTGAATAGCCTGTCCCGGGGAACCCTGCTGTAGGCAGAGTGGCTGCCATAGGTCACACCCAATTGCCTTTCCCCACATGTCACATGATTAAAAATGTGAACTCACCAGAAGTACCCTTCCCCCCTCACCCCCCTTCAGGGCCCTGCTGCTATACATCCTGGAGAAGGGACTTGTCTCCAAAAACAAGATCCTGCCACCTGCTGACCATTCTCCTCCTCCTCTACCTCAACCACAATGTCCTTCCTGCTGTTGCCTGAAGAGTCTCTGGGGGGAGACCCATGGACTGAGTTGGGGAAGTGGTCATATTGCCCCCTCCCGACTTCCGTGTAGCTGCTTATAATAGCAGCATGGTCTGGGCCATCACCATAAGTCTTTTGCCTCCTTTGTTTTCTGGTGCACCTGCCCCAGCCCCTTTATTTTCACACCACACTGCTGGGCATCACTGATGTCTCCTTTCTTCACCATGCCCTTTGCAATCTTGGCAAGATATCAGCGTTTCTTTGGCTGTTTTGTAGTTCTGCCTGAACTGATTCCTCTCCCCCCACACATCTGATTTAGCATCTTCAGGCTGGAGCTCGTTTGTGACCCTAGGCGTTCATGGTTAGGTGTGCTGCTGAGATGTGCTGCCGGTTCTAAGATCGGTTTGCCACACTGGCCAAACAGGAAACAAAATTACAGTTTTCCCACAGAGGCAGCAGCATTGGGAGGGAGAGGGCAGGAGCCAGTTTAAGTCTTCTCCCTATGAGCACCAGCACTCAACTCCTCTCCCCCCACCCCTTGTGTAAATGTAAAACTACGTTTTAACATCCCTAGTGCAGGGGCACTGTGCTGCTTTGCACTCTGTTAAAGAAGATGTTTTTTCTCTCCTGACCAGATTTATTCCCTTGTTGCTCCATCCCATAAATTGTTGTGGGCAAATATTTAAGCAAGTGTGGGTTATCTGCTGTGGCGATTTCTTTACTAGCTGGGATTAACATTCCAGAAAGGAGGATCTTCCTGGGAGTGTTTCTTTATTCTGCTGTGAAAAAAGTTGTTTAAAAAATTTGATTAAACCCCTTTCTATTAATGCCCCATTTTAACTAAAGGTTTATGTGCCCTGGTCAGGAACCAGAGAACCTGGTTGTACTCAAATGCAAATGCAGTGGGCATGTTGACACATGAGTGTGCACTCTCATATTCACAAACCAAGACTGATGTCTTGCTGCTGTTCTAGCTTTTCACTCAGCCTGGCACAGATACCAGTGAACAGGCCTGTTTTACTTCCTCCTACTCAGCTTCTAGCTGCACAGTTTTGAGTTACACAATGTAAAGATTTGAAAGCACATACACTTAAGCCTTAGTGTGGGAATAACAAAGCCAGTGTGAAATGTGCTTGCATTGTTAAATTTTAGTATCTCATATGGGGATCACTGCACCACACTCAGAGGTTGCGTGATTTTCATCATCAGTCTCTGTACGGTACAAAACCTGCATAGACTGGCCCTAACAAAGCTTGGTGTCCATACTTTGAAAATTCCTTGTTTCTAGTGAAATTGAGAAATCCTCTTAACAGACGGAATCTGCTGCCATCACTTTGCCTAGCTGTACTAATACTAGGACTGTACCTTGCTGTAAACCTATCTCTTGCTTCCAGCTTTGTAGCTTCTCTCACCAGGCAATACATTTTCCTGTTAAATTCTGCCTCTTGACTTTTCTTTCAGCTTTTTTATTTTTCTCCTGGCATTGGCATCTGTCCTGACCTGTTTGAATTGCTGGGGGTACTTTCACCCCTGCCATGATCAAAGTAATGCCCTTGAACTGATCCATGGGTTAGGCAGAGGCAGGTGGAGTATTGCCTATACTACTCTTAGTCTCAGTAGTGCCCTTAGTCATAATAGAGAATGCAGTTCAGTTCAGCAAGGAGGCCCCATGTAGCTGCTCTGGCTGCAATTGGATAGTTTTTAGCTTGTTCATGTGAAATTTCATTAAGTTTTTAAACCAACCAGCCCCATTGCTGACCCCAGGACCCCACTAGTCCTTCCCCCGGGGCGTTAGACCTACCCATTTGTTTACATGCTAATCTGTATTGCCTTTGGTTTAGAGGGGGGATTCAAATAGGCAGAAGGCTGTGCTAGGGGAGAGTGGTCCTTGTTTGTGGCCACATGGTGCCTTCCAGCCTTACTTGACAGCCTCTTAAGGATCCTGTAATGGCACTTTCCCTTTTTTGGGAAACCTAGTAAACATAAATACAATAAACAATGTTGAAATAGCTACTAAAGTTACAAAGTCAAGCACTCAAAATTGCCTGAATTCTGGCCTCCCGTGCAGCCTCAATTCAATCCCCTTGTGCATGGACTGCATGTAATCTTTAATTACCTGGGCTGGTACAGGATACAGGGTGCTCAGGGAATGAGGCAAACATTCAATATTCCTTGGCCTATTCATTCTGTTAGCAGATTCCATTATTGCACTTGTTTGTTACTCCTTACTGGGCTCCTCCTATAAGCCTTCACAGGTCTCCAATACTAATGAAATGGTTTCCACCTTTCAGAAGCAGGGAGGTATCTTTGTACCCATTTTACATGGTGTGCAGAGTAGGGATTTTAAAATGCGGCTAATTTACTAATCAAGTAGTCCATAGAATGTTTATCAACTACTCAATTAGCCAATAAAGGAAGGCCATCTGTTCAGTCCCAGCTTGTGTCCCAGTTTGGGACTAACCCCTGCTGCAGCTCTGCAATTTAAAACGCAGTAGGAGCTAGGTAGACACATTGGGTCTGGCTCCTGCTACATTTCAAATGTAGATGCACAGTGGATTTTGCTCCTGGACCTATTGCAAGCTGGAACAGAGCTGAGCTGCCTTCCCTTATCGACTAATTGAGTAGTCAATAAAAATTGTATTGCTTAGTTGATTAGTAAATTAACCATATTTTAAATCCCTACTCTGCATGCCATGTAAGATGCCTGTCCGCCCAGCTCCCTGCTGCAGCTCTGCATTTAAATGTGGGTAGTTGATAGCATTGACTGATTAAGCTTAGACTTAACAGTTAACTAATTGATTAGTCAACTACACTTAACATCCCTAGTGCAGAATGTGGGTTTGGACAGGCAAACCTCTAACTTTCTTGGGCTTAATTCCCTTGTAGCCATAATATTTTTCTTAATGTAGATATTTATGGGAGGACTCCAGTCATCTTAAAGAAATGTAAAGTTTGGTGTGCATAATGATTCATACATTTAAAATAATCCATAAGGAAAGCAGCAAAGGGAGGAAGAACTAGGGCAAGGTCAGTGCTTAGGGAGACTAACCCTAACCTGATCTGAAGCTGATCTGGAGAAGGAAGAGTTGAATGCAATGAATTGAGCCCCAACCTCAGCTCTCCCTAGAGGATTAATACTAACATGTTGGTTCCCTTTTGGCTTGTCTTCCTCCAAGGAGTGCAGGCTGGTGCTTAGTATAAAGATCCAGTTGGCGTGAGAAGGGGGCTCTTTTCAGAGCTGCCATTGCATAGATGTACCTGTCAAGAGCTGACACAGGTACATCTATGGCTGAACTGGAGTATGGACATTCTGGCTCCCCAGAATCCCCTGCCTTTTCATGAGGGCCACTTGCTTTCCTTGCCTGTGAGGGTTTATCCACCCCAGCGCTGGCTGCTCCTTGGGGGTGAGGTAGGGACCTTGACTAACCTTTTCCCAGGCATTGTGTTTCCTGCAGTGGAGGGAAGCAGCTGCACATGAACGGACTCCAGTGGGCTTGTGCTTGAAGGAGGCCTTGAAAAAATCCCCTTCCCCACAAGCAAAGTGCTCCGGGCCCAGAGCTGCTTAAGAGAAGCCCAATTATGTATGGCAGGTGCTAGAGACAGGAACAGGAAGGGTGAGAGGCTTGTAGGGGTCAGGCCGAGCCCACTGACTCTTTGGGTGTGGAGGGGTTGAGAGGGTGGTGGACGATTCAAGGGGGCTGCCTGGATTGCCCTGGCTCCTGTCTCATTATCTGCTTTCTCCCTCTAGCTCCTGTACCTCCGCATCTGAGAAGGAGATGGGGGGTGAGTGACACAACCATTCTTTGTGTGTCCTGGTTGGGCTCTGCTCTTTGATCCCCTCCTACAACATAATACAGGGTTCTGGTCCTCACGCTCTTGTTGTGCAGGAAGATCTGGGATGTTAATGTTCAGCGGGTGGGTTTATAAACCATGGAAACCCAGGCATAGACCGTAGGGAATCCTGCATCCAGCCCATTGACTTGTGAATGAGCTAGAAGTCATGAAAGTCAGGAGAGATTCCAGAAGGCTGGAAAAGGGCAAATCTAATGCCCATCTATTAAAAAAAAAAAACAACCCAGAAAACTACATACCTCTCACCTTATATGCCAGATGTTTGCAGATGCATTCCTTAATTACTTGCTCTGTTATCTTTCCCGACACAGAAGTTAAACTGACTGGTAACAGCCAGCATGGATTTGTACAGAACAAATCATGTCATGATAGCTTTCTTTGATAGAGTAACAAGCCTTGTAGATAAGGGGGAAGTGGTGGATGTGGTATACATAGACTTTAGTAAGCATTTGATTCAGTCTCAATGACCTTCTTAAACTACTAGGGGAATAACACCTAGCTGGGGCTACTATAAGGTGGGTGCATAACTGACTCCCAGTCGTGCTGGAAGGGTATAACAAGTGGGGTTCTGCAGGGATCAGTTTTGGGACCAGTTCTGTTCAGTATTTTCATCGGTGATTTAGATACTGGCATAGAGAATACGCTTATTAAGTTTGCAGATGATACCAAGCTGGGAGGGGTTGCAAGTGCCTTGGAGGCTAGGGTCATAATTCAGAATGGTCTGGACAAACTGGAGAAATGGTCTGAGGTAAATATGATGTTTAATAAGGACAAATGCAAAGTGTTCCCCTCGGAAAGGAACAAACAGTGTCACGCATACAGAATGGGAAGAGTCTGTCTAGGAAGGAGTACGGCAGAAAGGGATCTAGGGGTCATAATGGGCCACAAGCTACACGAGTAAAGTGTGACACTGTTGCAAAAAAAGCAAACATCATGCTGGGATGCATTAACAGGAGTGTTGTGAGCAGGACACACACAGTCATTCTGCTCTACTCTGCACTGACTAGGCCTCAGCTGGAGTATTGTGTCCAGTTCTAGGCACCACATTTCAAGAAAGATGTGGAGAAATTGAAGAAGGTCCAGAGAAGAGCAACAAGAATGATTAAAGGTCTAGAAAATATGAGCTATCAGGGAAGATTGAAGGAATTGGGTTTAATTTAGAAAAGAGAAGACTGGGAGGGGACATTTTAGCTGTTTTCAAGTATCTAAGAGAGGGGAGGAAAAATTGTTCTTTGGCATCTGATCGGACAAGAAGCAATGGGCTTCAATTGCAGCAAGGGAGGTTTAGGTTGGACATTAGGAAGAACTTCCTAACTGTCTGGGTGGTTATTTCCTCAGGTGGTTGTGGACTGTCCAACACTGGAGATATTTAGGAGCAGGTTAGATGTTACTTGGTCCTGCCATGAGAGCAGGAGACTGCACTTGATGACCTCTCGAGGTCCCTTCTGGTTCTCATATTCTTTGATTCTAGAGCTTGATCTAATGAAAATGAGAATCCCAGGCCCAGGAGACCTGTCAGATACTCCAATCATCCCTAGCCTCTTTAGCTAGTAAGAGTAAGGGGTTTGTTCCAGGGACTATTAGTGTCTCTTTGGCACTCCCTTCCCCTTTGCCAACCCTGCAGTATGTGTACCCTGCCTGTCTCCAGATACCAGCCGGAGAGAGAAGAAATACCGTGCGCATCAGGGGTTTGGGGACCGCCGAGGCGGGGTCATCAGTGCTCGTACCTACTTCTACGCAGATGAAGCCAAGTGTGATCAGCACGTGGACACGTTCCTGAATTGTATCAAGGCCTCAAGTAGGTTCTTTCACGTGCCACCCCCCATAGTGCCCTCTTAGCACTGTACCCTTCCCCCAGCAGTCTGCATCACCACTCATGGGCTGTGGCTCTGCAGGTGCCCTCCTGCTGTGACCGTCAGCACTGTGCGGCTTGCTGCAGGGGAGCAGGTGCTGCTGCAGTCTCAAGAGTAAGCGAAGGGCAGATATGCTGGCTCAGGTGGACTGTTTACATTCCTCCTTCCTCTCTGGCTGGCAGCCATGCTGGATTCTCCTATGCTGCTTTCCTTTACTTGTCCTGGTGTCATGGGCACTTGCCGCCACTTGAGCACGTTCTCTGGCTTTATTTAGGTGGCAGCTCAGAGGACAGCTTTTTGGCCATTAAGCTGACCGCTTTGGGAAGGCCTCAGTTCCTGGTGAGTGACTGACTCATGGTGCAAGGGCCCGCACAATCGCAAAGGGAGAGGTGCTTAGGTTCAGACAGGCTCAGGGAGTTACTTGAAACTAGTTCCAAGTGGCAGATGCAGCAGCCCTGGTTGGGGGGGGGGAGGATGGAGCTGCTAGCCCTATGAGGGTTTCTGGGACCAGATCTACCTTGAAGAGGTCAGTGCTTATCAGAGGCAGCAGCCTGCCATTTGGGCTCGGTGCGGTGAGCTGGGTGCCAGGCAGGAGGGTCCCTCCAATTGGGTCCATGCTAGGCATATTCTTGTGGGTAATGTGGTGGTGATGCTCGATAGACTCCCTTGGGAGGCCAGTGTCCTGGGACACCTGCTGAGTGTCAGGTTTAGAGATCTTGCTCTTTACTACCAGTGGCCTGGGGTAGTGGGTGGAACCATTGGCTGTTGAGGTCCTGCTCCTTTGGCATGGCAGAGCATTTGGCAGGCTGGATAGCACCTATGGGACGTGATCATAGGAGCCGTCTCTGCTGGTGAGGGGAAGGGGAAGCTCACCCTTGGCTCTGCTCTCCCAGCTGCAGTTCTCAGAGGTGCTGCAGAAATGGAGGAGGTTCTTTCACCAGATGGCTGCAGAACAAGGCAAGGCTGGGCTGACTCTGGTGGAGACCAAACTGGAAGTGAAGAAGTTGCAGGTGAGCTGGCGCTTTCCTATCACCCTCTGCCCCACAGGCATTGTCTGGGAATGAATCAGGGCTGCTTGTGCCCTGGGTTAATCACCCCTGCTCCTGGCTGCTATGAAATGTTTTGCAGGGCTTGGATCAAAACACTGGGGAGGACTGAACTGAGAGAATTATTTCAGACTGTGGGCTGTGCTTAGTGATCACCACGTCTGGGGTGATGGATCAGTTGGGTTTCACCTTCCTCGGCAGGATGCAGATTTAAACTGGTGTAGCTGGTGTCTTCCCTGTAACTTGAAGTCTTTGAACTATGATTTGAGGGAACCTGGTCCAGGAGGTGAGAGGTCTGTTACAGCAGTGGTTCTCAACCTTTTTTATACTGGGAGCTGGCAAGCCCATTCACAAACTTTTGGCAGACAGGCAACATATTCATTTAAATAATGAACATGGAAATAAAAATGTCCATATGCAAATATAATTTGTTGGCCAAAAGCCCTGGCCCCCAGAACTATGATTTGAGGGAACCTGGTCCAGGAGGTGAGAGGTCTGTTACAGCAGTGGTTCTCAACCTTTTTTATACTGGGAGCTGGCAAGCCCATTCACAAACTTTTGGCAGACAGGCAACATATTCATTTAAATAATGAACATGGAAATAAAAATGTCCATATGCAAATATAATTTGTTGGCCAAAAGCCCTGGCCCCCAGTACCAGCCGAGCTCTGCTCCTAGCCCTGCTCCCAGAGCCTCCCCGTGTGTCAGCTCCCCACCTGGACACCCCAGTGTCAGCTGCCTGCTTCTTAGAGCCCCCCAACACTAGCCCTCCTCCTTGGAACTACCAGTGCCTGCCCTGCCCACTCACCTAACCCTGCACTGTCTCCCAGCCACCAGCTGAGCGCTGCTGCCTGGGTTGCAGCTGCTCTAACGCTGCCATGCCAGGCTCCACGCAACCCTCCTGCTATGCAGCCAAGCTCTTTTCCCCTGCTAGCTGAGAGGCTGGGCAGGACATACCTCTCCCAACAACCATAGCAGGAACAGTGTACCCCAGCCTTGGCTCCCAAAGCCACCACAGCCCGGCAGCCAGACCGGCATTTGGGATCTGCTGTATTATAGGAGTGGGTGGGTGAGGTTCTGTGGCCTGCGCTGTGCAGGCGGCCAGACTAGATGAAAGTCAGTCAGGGAGGAGCACTGTTCTGGTTCCAGGACCAGTGGCCAAAAGTGTGATGCTGCAGCCCTTATAACCTGTGTCCTTTCTCCCCTGTCTCCCCTTTGGGCTTGTTTCTGTGCATTTACCTCAGTCCTTCCCCTGGGCTGCTCTAGGATCCCCATCCCTCTTCATAGGTCTGGTGCACTGTAAATCTCCTGCGATCGATTGTTGCCTCTTCCAAGCAGGGCAGTGGGAGGAGCCCTCCTTTGTTGCTCGTACCTGCACATGCTTGCATAGCTCTTGCAGCCATGAAGCGAGTACTCCCTTCTCTGCTGAGAGCTTCTCAGCAGCAGCGGAGACTCCTCTGGGAAGTGCTAGGTGGTGGTTAGGTACTGTTAATTCCACAGGTGCTATTGACTCTGCAGGGGCTGTGCACCTCTCAGCCACCTGGCTGTGTGTCCTGCCCTGGAGCAAAGCAGGTAGCAGCAGGGACTCTGACCAGCTCCTTTCTCATTTCAGGAGACCCTAGCAAGCCTTGGGATTGCAACCAAAGCAGAAAGCCAGCACTGGTTCACAGGCGAGAACCTGGGCGTGTCTGGGTGAGCTCCCTTTGGAGGGTCAGACTGGCTGGAGTGGGGAGAGATGTGGGTGCCATGGAAAGGATCACAAGGAGGCATCCCAAAGACTGTTGGGGAGACTGGGGAGAAGGGTTGTGGCAGAGAGCTTCCCAAATCCTAGAGCAGTTTTTGGGGCAGGGGTCCTAGGAGAGACAGGCTTTCATACCTGGCTGCTGTAGAAAGTTTTTCATGGGTAAGTAGCTACAGACTCTGCTTCTTTGGCTGAACGCCCCCTCTCCCCCTTCTGGTCAAATCGAGCAGCACAAGGCTCTGGGCCATTACTCTAAATGGACTAATGAAGCTGCTGCCAGCGTACCCCTTGGGGAGCCTGCTGGGGTTGGAGGCAGTCTACAGCTTGCGTAGAGCTGTCACTAATGTGATTCTCATTGACGGTAGCACCGTGGACCTGCTGGACTGGAACAGCCTGATTGACAGCCGAACAAAGCTCTCCAAACTGTTGCTCATCCCAAACATGAAGGTGAGTGCGTGCCGCTTTGGGCCAGGGCTCCTTCCAGGCACTGGCCTGGGACACTGGAGCTGGAGAGCTCCCTTGGTGCTGTGCTGGGAAGGGGGCATCATGCATCAGGCCCCTGATGTCTTAGCTAGTCAGTTCTAAAACCCCCCAAACAATGGGGTTCAGCCACTGTCACATGGGACAAAATGCAGGACAATGTAGCTTCCAGGCACTGGCCTGGGACACTGGAGCTGGAGAGCTCCCTTGGTGCTGTGCTGGGAAGGGGGCATCATGCATCAGGCCCCTGATGTCTTAGCTAGTCAGTTCTAAAACCCCCCAAACAATGGGGTTCAGCCACTGTCACATGGGACAAAATGCAGGACAATGTAGCACTTTAAAGACTAACAAGATGGTTTATTAGATGATGAGCTTTCGTGGGCCAGACCCACTTCCTCAGATTTGATCTGTGGAAGTGGGTCTGGCCCACGAAAGCTCATCATCTAATAAACCATCTTGTTAGCATTTAAAGTGCTACATAGTCTGGGGGAGCTGAAGC